TACGGTGAGCATGGAGCAGAGAAGCGGGGATTAAGGACAGGCTGAAGAGGGGGAAACAAGGGGGGGGGGGTATGGGAAGTGAGGAAGGGGAGGGGAGGGGGAAGGAACGGGGGAGAGGCAGGATGGGAGAGAGGATCTGGAGCGTTAAGTGGGGACAGGGGAGCCAACAAGATGCAGTAACAGGATTTCTCATGAGTCATTTGCCGTTACAAACATGTCCACCTAAACCTGTTCAATTCTTCCCACGCGTGATGTTTCTAGTTCCGCTTCACGTGTCACGCCATCTGTCGCGACTGTAGCAGACAGCCCTCATTCAAGCACCGCCAACAAGACGGTTTGCTGTTGCACCATGCAGGGAATGGTGAAACACGAAAAGCTGCAGCGTACCATGAGCATCAGCGTCACCGTGTCTTTGCAACAACCCCATTCACATTTGCAAGGGTATCAAAGCATGGGTGCACAGCAACTCCGACGCCTTAGAGGAAATACGCCGCAAAGAGAAGTCCCGTGCATGCAGCCGATCGTCAGCGAGTTGCCATCCGACTCACGCGAATGGCGACTCGCCTCAGAGGCAACAGCGACCGTCAGGAGAAGACCTTCGACAGATGGCAATTGGATGGTGAACGAAATAGTACAGGCGGGAATTTCATCAGTGATACTGCGGATCCCCGTTTACCGGGATTGATCCTAACCGCAGCAAAGGTGGATGGCGACCCGCAGCAGCAGCAGCGCCGACTCAAGACACCGCCGAGGACGAGTCGCCGAAAGAAGGAAACCGATTCGAAATTTGGGAGCGACTCTGCTGCTGCTGATCATGGTCTGTCGCATCGTTGCGCGACAGATAACTCCGCGAGACGTCGCGCGCGGCCTTCAGGTATTACTTCAATCTGCTTGAGCGTCATACCCCGCCGGCTTCCGCGCTGCTAGTGGCGGAGCTGATGCGATTCTACAGAAGCCCATAGACGATGACATCCGCCTCTTTGGTAGACGGAGATTAAAGTCGCCATCACTCTCGCGTACAGTAATCTCAGAATAAACTTTCGTCATCGCGCCCGAGTTTTACTGACAAAACGATGAGTTTCTGAGCTGAAAGCTAGAAAATGTAGAACAAGGCTCTTTTGAGAACAATGGAAACATGAAGGCATTTCCTGATATAGTCTCGTCAGAGATTCCAATTGCACTCAAAACGCTTTGTGCGACCAGATGCGTTTTCTTGGAGCATTCGACGACCCTCTCCCAGAGCGTTACAGCAAACATTTTCGCCACAACGACACGAAACGCTCGAAATTTGGTTACTAAACAAGACTCGACGTTTACGTCGGGAAGGGTTGCTGTTATGAATGAACTTGCGGAGTGCGCAGTAAAACGAATAACGAGAATGAGAATTACAGAATGACGATACAATGGAAGTCAAGAGACCAAAATAGGGGACGTCCTAGCTAGTCGTGGAAGCTGGGCGAGGATGGCTCGGTGATGGTTGCGATTGGAGCGAAGGCCGAATCAGGAGTGGTTCGGTGCGACGAAACAGGAAGGACAGGTTCGTCGCGTGAACCTCAGGATGTCCTAGCTAAAGAGTGCCTCGGTAAAAAATTGTAAATACTTACAGTTGCGTAGAGTTGTATCCCTTGTATAAGAAACATACTGTTAGAAACACTAAGATAGGGTACATACATTATAACTATACTTTGCTTATAGAAGCAATTCATTAAGTTCTTCATTTTTACTTAAATCAGGTCACGCTCTATATTTCCTTCTTATAAAGCGAAATGTTCTACAGGTGTTACTTCCCTCAAAGTTGTTAATTTATTGTGGAACAACATAGACACGTATGCTCTTTTTGTGATTTTTATAAACATGAACTATTTTCACCAACAACTTAACTCCATTAATCTTTCACCTTGTTATAACGGGTTGGGCGTTTGGTATCGCTGAATGCCCACCTCCTGTGCTGGCATAAGGGCATGCTACATTTTTTTAAGTAGCTGAAAGTCCGGACGGCTGTCCGGACACGTGCGAAAATTGCGACGGCGTACGGTCGCGTTGCGACCAATTCAATGTCGTAACGAGGCAATACAAATGTGACGTCGGTTAGACCCTGACGAACTCAATGCCGAGATTTAACGAATTCAGTAACCACACAATCGTCCGAATGGCTGGCCGTTAGGACGAAAAAAAAAAATTTTAACATGCCCTAAATTTTCTCGCTCTGCTCGCATAAATTTTCTTATTCTGCGTTGGCATCCTATGAAGATGAGAACGAGAGAATGATTGAACTATGAAAGAATTGGCTACAAGTACTAACCCTAATTGGGTTGTACCCCTTATGAGCAAATGTATAAACTATAATGTTCAGACACACCCCCATAGGCGAAATGGGGGAGAACAAGTGGTCACAAGACCAGTCAAGCAAAGCAAAGCAAGCTCAGGGTGGATCACAAAGTCACCACACAGTCCGAGCACAAGAATAAGGCCACAAGGCCAGTTCACAGTGTTGGCCTCAGAGGCCACGTAGGTGAGGCGGAGCTGACCACGCTACTGCAACTCACGAGCCAGAAAGTAGCGGAGAGCAATGTGCTTCGTTCTGTGCTCCACTATGTGCTTCCGACACAAGGCCAACATGGCCTTGTTGTCTACGTACAGAATTGGAGGAGAACGAGGCGGCTCTCCTAGGTCAGTCAGCAGGTAGGTGAGCCAGCGTAGCTCCTGTGCAGCCATGGCCCCTGTGTAGATCTCAGCCTCATAGGTGGAGCTGAGAACAGAAGACGAGCGGGTAGACCGCCACGAAACAGAGCCGGAGCCAAGGCTGAAGGTGTAACCCTGTGACGACCGCTGCAGAGCCTGGTCGTCAGCCCAAGAAGCGTCTACGTAACCTATCAGGACCACTCGACGTCGCCCTCCAAGCACTAGTCCCACGCCCGACGTACTGCACACGTAGCGCAACACCCTCTTCGCTGCAGCAATCTGCTCTGGTCTGTGTCTCCCAGGAGAAACATAGCCTGCCAAGATGCTAAGAGGGTATGCAAGGTCAGGTCGTGTGCAGGTCATTAGGTACATGAGGCAGCCAACAAGCTTTGGGTACGGGCCACTCGACTCTACCGACTCATCCGAAGGCAGAGGTGAGAGCGAGTGGCGAGTAGACAAAGGAGTGGCCTGAGGCGAGGAGTGCGTGAAGTCGAAGCACTAAAGGACCTGCTGCACCATGTGTGACTGAGTCAGAGTAATGGTGCGCTGTGCTCTGTCCCGAGTGATCTGCAAGCCAAGGTAGCTGCGCAGTTCACCCAGGTCTGTGCACGTGTGTCTCTTCTACAGCTCGGACTTCACGTGGGCGAGTCCAGCAGTGTTAGCAGTGGCAAAGACCAAGTCGTCAGTGTGTCCTGCCACTCACGGGGCGCCTGGCGGAGACCGTAGACTGGCCGCCGAAGGCTCCACTGGGTACGAGGAGGAAACAACCCAGTGAAGCCAGGTGGGCGGCGCAGCCAGATCTCCTCGTGCAGGCTGCCCTACGGGAAAGCTGTGCTGAAGTCAATAGAGTGAAGCTCGTAGTCGTGCTGAGTAGCTATGTGCAGCAGCACCCAAAGAGTCGTCATCTTCGCGGTGGGAGAGAAGGTCTGAAAGTAGTCAACTCCTTGCCGCTGACTGAAGCCTCGAGCCACGTAGCGCGCCTTGAAGACAAGCAGAGAACCCGGCGGCCGCTTCACCCTGAAAATCCACATGCCACTGACAATGTTCGCCCCAGGTGGGGAACCTCGTCGACGTAGGTGCCTGAGGACTTCCAGGAAGCCATCTCTGCGTCCATGGCTGACTGCCACTGAGAGGAGTAGGGACCCTCGATCGCCTCAGCGTACGATCGAGGAGTCTGGATGTCTGGTGCATCCGGGTCTCCCTCAGGGGCAATCAGCGTGGACACGAGATGGGGCAAAGCAGCAGCAAAGCACTAGAACTCCTGCCTGTCGTCAAGGACGTGCTTGCTAAGAGCACACTCACCCCCAACGGACGGAGGACACACGGACCCAGACTCTACAACGAGACTAGCAGCGTAGTCTAGACGACAGCAACCAGCGAAGTCGACAAGCTCGGCGACTAGGGCAGACGCAGTAGTGGACTCAAAGGAAGGGTTAGTGACAACAGTAGCAAGAAGGCGCGTGACCGAATGACTAGCAGCACCAAGAGATTCAGACACCGGTTCAGCAAGAGTAGGAAGAGGGGACTCTGGAGGAGACGGCAACGGGACACGCAGAGGAGCAGTGGAAGGACAGAGTGCCTTCTAGTGTGTGCCTGGGACCGGAGGAGGACGCGGACGCGCAGTACGACGACTAGTGCGAGCAGCACAAACAGGCGACGTAGGACGAGACGCAAGCTCAAGACGCTCAGCAAGACCTCTAGTAGGACCATTATAGGGAGAAGGAGCAGGTAGAGGGGAGGCGGGCTGTAACTGTGACTGGGACTGGAAAGGCTGTGGACACTCTAAGGAAGGAGCAAGACTAGGAGAGGGCGAGAGACCAAGAACCTACTCGAGGAGCGGAACGGAGTACGGCCTCGGCCGCTCAGCGCCTCCAGAACCACCAAAGACGGCACTAGTACCCCCAACGGCAGCACGAGCGCCAGCAGCACCTCCAGCTCCAACAGCGCCAACTCCAGCACCCTCAGAAGCACCACTGCCAGTAGCACTGCTAGCGCCAACACCCCCAGCAGCTCCAGCTCCAGGAGCACCAACTTCAGTAGGACCATCAGCACCAGCAGCCTCAGCAGCACCCCCAAACGCACCAGCACCAGTAGAAACACCAGCGCCAACACCCCCAGCAGGAAACTCGGAGGAGTGAGGGGCGGCGCGCTGTCGCCCCTCGACGCAGGGGACGCAGGTAGGGCCAGGCCCCGGAGGTAGGGCAGGGAGAGACCGAGGGAGACCAGAGACAAGGACACGAGAGGCCATGCCTCAGAGACGAGGCAGGGAGGGGTGACCAAGGCGGTGGTGCCAAAGGAGAGTCTGGTGGGACAGGAGACTACGAGCAGGGAGCAGACTCAGGACCATACCTGGACGCTGCAGCAAACACCTGACTTGACGCAGCTACCTGGGCACACTCTGCAGCCGGAGGAGACTCAGTAGTAAGGGTGTACAGGCTCAACCCTGGCCGACGGGTGAACGTGGCCAAGTGTCGGCCTGTCCGAGCACACGTGCAGTGGGTCACTCGCTGACTCGCAGGAGTGAACTGGTCAACCCCCCTATCCTGTAGGTCGGCTCCACTCACCAAGTTCGTAGAGAACGAGGGGAGGTAGAGACCTGACAGGGTGCCAGAGGGGGCCGCCGGGCACGGTAAGACAGTGGAGAAGCTAGCAAGGACAGGACCCCTAGAGGGGTCTGCCAGGGAGACTGCAACCGGCCGACTGAGCGGCGTAAGAGTGGTGTGGTCTCGAAAGAAGGAGCGGGACGCACCCGAGTCAAGGGTGAAGGTGTGTAAGGCCTCAGCCGACATTGTACTTGAGAGCGCAGACTCACCAGCACCTGGGGCAGCAGACGCACTAGCACCTGGGGAAGTTGACGCACTAGCACCGCGAGCAGTAGCCTCACCAGCACCTGGAGTAGTAGCCTCAATGCCCGGTTCAGGTGGTACACACAGGCAACAGTCACCCACAACACTATCATCAACGACATACATGGCAGCATGAATAGCAGCATAGTCAAGATAAAAGAAGGCAACCCCTGCCCTAGATAGATCTCCCCAGCAAGGTATCTCTGTCGCCTCAGGGAACTGGCAACGCCACGCGTCCGTCAGGTGACTGAAGCAGCGCTGGGTGGTGTGTGGGCCTCTGATGTGCTCATTAGCTCGCTCGCCGGTACGGAGGATGTAAGTGCAGGGACCAAAACCCCCACCGCGTTGACGCGCAGTGTACGAAGCTGCTGAGGGTACAGGGTCACACCACTCCTCTACTGCTGGTGCGAACCACCACCTGAGCCACTCCTCTGCACAGAGTCGCGACTCGCTCCACCACCGCCGCCGCCACCGCCGCCTCCGCCGCCTCCTCCACCTCCACCTCCTCCTCCACCTCCGCCGCCTCCGCTCCCTCCGCCGCCTCCGCTCCCTCCGCCACCACCACCGCCTCCGCCGCCTCCACTGCTGCCGCCGCCGCCGCCACCCCCGGCACCACTCCCACTACCACCCCCACTCCCTCCACTGCCTCCACCGCCACCTCCACCGCCCCCTCCAGCCCCTCCAGTGCCCTTGCCCCCCTTGCCCTTGCCGGTGCGGCGTTTCCCGCTCGGGGCAGACGCATCGCCGACCGACTCGAAACCAACGAGGTCGGCCGCAGCAGCAGAGGCAACAGAGGGCAAGAGGGGGGAGGGAGAACACCCCTCAAAGACGGGGGTGCGAGGGTCACCACGAGAGGCTCCTACAGCGACTATGCTCTTCTCTGCCGCTAGGAGGGCCTTCTCGAGAAGGTCAATGGTGAGAGTGGTGGGGCAAACTGAGAGGAAGTGGTCCCTGACTACACGGAGAGAGTCAGGGAGCCGGGTGACTATGTAGTAGAGGGTGATGTACATGGGGGGGGGGGTTCTTGACGCAGAACTCAGCAGGAAGCGCAGCGCGGTAGCGAGTGTCACTAGTGCGGAGGTGCGTAATAAGGTCAGCGACTGTGGGAAAGGCAGCAAGGTTAGAGAAGAGGTACGGTACCATGAGGCGGCTCAATGCAGCAGTGGCAGGGGAAGAGTAGCGTGCAACTACAGCGTCGTTCAAGGTCTGAGCACTCTTGTACTGGCTGAAATGCGCGCGCTCAGTGGTCGGTAAGTGGCGGGGCACAGCATGGCGAGCAGCAGCATCGCGCGTGGCCCACTGTGAGCGAACAGTGGCGTCAGCATCAGTAGCAAGGGCGGGAGAGCCACCAGAAGTGAGGTCGAATAGGGAGAGACCGTCTGCCCTATCGCACTGTAGGAAAAGCTGCAGATCATCTACCCAGACCTCAAAGTCCACTGCCCGACCCTCGGCATCAAAGGTGAGCACACTAGGGGAGGCCATGACAGCAGTAGACAGGCAGTAAGTACAATGGGGTAGGGCAGTGTAGTGGCAGAGACTGGGCTCTTACCAGGCAAGTGGGGCGGTCGGGCAGCTCGGCGGCTCGGTTGCTGGGCAGATCGGCGGTCGGGCGGCTCGGCTGCTCGGCGGCTCGGCTGCTGGGCGGCTCGGCGGTCGGGCGGCTTGGTTGCAGGGCGGCCCGGTGGTCGGGCAGCTCGGCTGCTCGGCGGTTCGGCTGCTAGGCGGTTCGGCTGCTTTGCGGCTCAGCTGATCTGCGGCTCGGGCGCTGGGCGTCTGAGCGGCGACGGGGCCGTGCGAGGGCGGCGACGAGGCCGCTGAATGGGCGGCGACGGGGCCGCTGAAAAGGGCGGCGATGGGGCCGCTGAAGGGCGGCAACGGGGCCGCTGGAGGGCGGCGACGGGGCCGGGGAAGGGCGGTGTCGGAGCCGCGGAAGGGCGGACGACGGGGCCGCTGTAAGGTCGGGCGGCGAGGCCGTGGAAGGGCGGCAACGGGGCTGTGGAAGGGCGGCGACGGGGCCGCAAAAAGGGCGGGCGGCGACGGGGCCGCTGAAAGGGCAGCGACGGGGCCGCTGAAGGGCGGCGACGGGGCCGCTGGAGGGCGGTGACGGGGCCGCGAAAGGGCGGTCGACGGGGCCGCTGTAAGGGCGGGTGGCGAGGTCGTGGAAGGGCGGCGATGGGGCCGTGGAAGGGCGGCGACAGGGCCGCTGAAAGGGCGGCGACAGGGCCGCAGGAAGGGGCGGCGACGGGGCCGCAAAAGGGCGGGCGACGCGGCCGCTGTAGGGGCGGGCGGCGAGGCCGTGGAAGGGCGGCATTGGGGCCATGAAAGGGCGGAGACGGGGCCGCTGAAAGGGCGGCGACGAGGCCGCAGGAAGGGGCGGGGACGGGGCCGCGGAAAGGGCGGCGCGACGGTGCCGCAAGGGCGGCGCGACAGGGCCGCAAGGGCGGCGCGACGGAGCCGAAAGGGCGGCGCGACGGGGCCGTTAGGGGCCGTAAAAGAGGCCGCTAAAGGGGGAACGACACGGGGCGCGACTCGGGCAGGGGCCAAGCGTGCTCCGGGCAGGAAAAAAAAAAAAAAAAAAAAAGTCGGTGGGCCCTAGGAACAGTTCCCACGAGGGAACCAGCTCTATACCATGTGAAGATGAGAACGAGAGAATGATTGAACTATGAAAGAGTTGGGTACAAGTACTAACCCTTATGGGCTACCCCACTAGAGCCTACACAAATGTATAAGCTATAATGTTCAGACACATCCGTCTCTTTCACAGCTCGAATTCGGCGCTGTCTTTTCTTGGTTCTTGTTCTTGAATCTTCTCGACAAGAACCTGCTCTGCTCCTACTCATTTTCCTCCCCTCCCCCCCACCCCTTCTCGCCTGTTCTTCTCCTACCTAGCCGTCGCTCTCGCTCCATCTAGCCGTATTCTCTCCCTCACTACCCGCTGACACCTCTCCAACCCACCTCACAATGACTTCGTACCATCCACCTCGCCATCTCCTCTCCCTTACCTCCCCGCCATCGCCTCCCTCCTCCTCGCCGTTGCCTCCCTCCTCCCCGCCGTCGCCTATACTCCTCCCCACCGTCGCATCTCCCCCCGTCGTCGCCTCTCCGTCCTCCCCGCCGTCGCCTCCCTCCTCCCCGCCGTCGCCTCTCCTCCTCCCCGCCGTAGCCTCTCCTCCTCCCCGCCGTCGCATCTCCCTCCTCCCCGTAGTCGCCTCTCCTCCTCCCCACTGTCGCCTTTCCCTCCTCCCCACGGTCGCCTCTCCCTCCTCCCCGCCATCGCCTCTCGCTCCTCCCCGCGGTCGCTGTCAAACTAATACGCTATAGTCTGTGTAGGCTGTAGTGGGGTAGACAATATGGGGTACAACACTTCTAGGTTTTCCTACTTGTACCCACCTGCTTGCTAGTTCATTCATTCCTCATTTCTTCACATGGTATAGAGCAGGTTCCCTAGTGGGAACGCTTCCTTGGGCCCACCACTGAAAACTTTTTTTCTGACCGGAGCGATAGTCCCTCCTGCCTGAGGCGCGCCTTGTGGGCTGCCCTTCTGTCGACCTCTCTTAGAGGCCCCTCTCACGGCCCCTCGCGCCACCCTCAGCGGCCCCATCGCAGCCCCTAGCGGCCCCGTAGCCGCCCTTCCAGGCCCCTAGCGACCTCGTCACCGCCCCTACGCGGCCCCGTCGCCGCCCCTAGCGGCCCTGTCGCCGCTCTGTTGCCGCCTCCCTACCTACGCAGCCCCGTTGCCGCCCCTAAGCGGCCCCGTAGCCGCCCCTAGCGGCCTTGTAGCCGCTCCCCTCCCTACGCGGCCCCGTCGCCGCCCCTACGCGGCCCCGTCGCCGCCCCTAGCGGCCCCGTCGCCGCTAACCTCCCTACGCGGCCGCATTGCCGCCCCTACGCGGCCTCGACGCCGCCCCTACGCGGCCCCGTCGCCGCTCCTAGCGGCCCCGTCGCCGCTCCCCTCCCTACGCGGCCCCGTCGCTGCCCCTACGCTGCCTCGTAGCCACCCCTACGCGTCCACGTCGCCGCCCCTAGCGGCCCCGTTGCCGCTCCCCTCCCTACACGGCCCCTTCGCCGCCCCTAGCGGCCCCGTCGCCGCCCCTACCCGGCCCCATCGCCGCCCCTAGCGGGCAGCCGAGCGGCTGAGCTGCCACTGCAGCAGCCGCCCCTCGAGCAGCCGCCACTGCAGCAGCCGCCCCTAGAGCAGCCGCCACTGCAGCAGCCACCCCTGGAGCAGCCGCCACTGCACCAGCCGCCCCTGGAGCAGCCGCCACTGCAGCAGCCGCCCCTGGAGCACCCGCCACTGCAGCAGCCGCCCGTGGAGCAGCCGCCACTGCAGAAGCCGCCTCTGGAGCAGCCGCCATTGCAGCAGCCGCCTCTGCTACTGCTGGTGCTGAGGACCCGGGCGTTGGAGTTGCTGCTGGTGCTGAGGACCCGGGCGTTAGAGCTCGTGCTGGTGCTGCGGACCCGGGCGTTGGAGCTGCTGCTGGTGCTGAGGACCCGGGAGTTGGAGCTGCTGCTGGTGCTGAGGACCCTGGCGCTGGTGCTGCTGCTGGTGCTGTGGACCCGGGCGTTGGAGATGCTGCTGGTGCTGAGGACCCGGGAGTTGGAGGTGCTGCTGGTGCTGAGGACCCTGGCGCTGGTGTCTCTGCTGGTTATGGAGTTGCTGCACGGCCGCGGCCGTACTTCGTTCTGCTTCTTCAGCAGGTTCTTTTTCAGCTCCCTCCTCCTTGTCCTCCTCCCTCCTTAGGGTGTCCTCCGTGTGTCCAGCTGCGGTCGCAGCTACCGTCTGCCTCCGCTCTCCCTGGTCCTGCTCCTTACACTGGTCCAACTGGAGGTCTTACTAAGCGTCGTAAGCCTGAGTCTCGTCGTGCGTCGCCTGTCCGTGCTGCTCTCACTGGTAGTTGTGTCACGCGTCAGCGTCTTCCTGCTGTCCCAGGCACTCACCGTATGGCGCTTCGTCCTTCCACTCCTCCACAGCGTGTCCCACTGCCGTCTCCTCCTGCGTCCTCTCTTCCTGCTCTTGCTGACCCGAGGTCAGACTCCCTTCGTGCTGCCAGTCCTACTGTCACGCGTCTCCTAGCTACTGTTGTCAGTGACCCTTCCTTTGAGTCCGCTGCTACGTCTGGCTTAGTTGCTGAGCTTGTCGACTTTGCTGCCATCTGTCGTTTAGACTACACCGCTAGCCTAGTTGCTGAGTCTGAGTCTGTTTGTCCTCCGTCCGTCGGGGGTGAGTGTGCTCTTGGCACTAACGTCCTTGAGGACAGGCAGGAGGAGTTTGAGTGCTTTGCTGCTGCTTTGCCCCATCTCGTGTCCATGTTTGTCGACTCCACGCTCTTACGCAGAGGCGATGGCCGGTCCCTACTCCTCTCAGTGGCAAATAGCCATGGACACAGAGATGGCTTCCTGGAAGTCCACATGCACCTACGTCGACGAGGTTCCCCCGCCAGGGGCGAACATCGTTAGTGGCATGTGGATTTTCAGGGTGAAGCGGCCGCCAGGCTCTCCGCCTGTCTTCAAGGCGCGTTACGTTGCACGAGGCTTCAGTCAACGAGAGGGAGTTGACTTCTTCCAGACCTTCTCCCCGACTCTGAAGATGACCACTCTTCGGGTTCTGCTGCACGTCGCCGCTCAGCGTGACTACGAGCTCCACTCTCTTGACTTCAGCACTGCTTTCCTACAGGGCAGCCTGCACGAGGAGATCTGGCTACGCCGCCCACCTGGCTTCACTGGGTCGTTCCCTCCTGGTACCCAGTGGAGCCTCCGGTGGCCAGTCTACGGTCTCCGCCAGGCGCCACGTGAGTGGCACGACATTGTGAGGACTACACTTGCGGCTCTTGGGTTCGCGCCTTCTACTGCTGACCCGTCGCTGTTTCTACGCACCGACACTTCACTGCCGCCGTTCTACATCCTCGTGTACGTCGACGACTTGGTCTTTGCCACTGCTGACACTGCGGCACTTGCCAACGTGAAGTCGGAGCTGCAGAAGAGACACACGTGCACAGACCTGGGTGAAATGACAAGCTATCTTGGCTTGCGGATCACCCGGGACAGAGCACGCCGCACCATCACCTCGACTCAGTCACACATGGTGCAGCAGGTCTTTCAGTGCTTCCGCTTTACGTACTCTTCGCCTCAGCCCATTGCTCTGCTTACCGGCCACTCGCTCTCAGCCCTGCCTTCGAACGAGTCCGTAGAGCCGAGTGGCCCGTATCTAGAGCTTGTGGGTTGCCTTATGTACCTGATGACCTGCACTCGACCTGACCTTGCATACCCTCTTAGCATTCTTGCACGCTATGTCGCTCCCGGCCGTCACCGGAAGGAGCACATGGATGCAGCTAAAAGGTTGTTGCGCTACTTGTGTAGTACGTCGGGCATGGGGCTACTGCTTGGAGTGGGAGACCCCGTTGTTCTCACTGGGCACTCAGAAGCTTCTTGGGGAGACGACCAGGCTACTCAGCGATCGTCTCAGGGTTACACCTTCAGTCTTGGCTCTGGTTCATTTTCTTGGCGTTCTACTCGCTCTTCTTCTGTTCTCAGCTCCAGTTGTGAGGCTAAGATCTACGCCACAGCCATGGCGGCCCAGGAGCTACGCTGGCTCACCTACTTGCTGACCGACCTTGGAGAGCGGCCTCGTTCTCCTCCAGTACTGTACGTCGACAACAAGGCAGCCATTGCCTTGTGTCAGGAGCACAGACTTGAGCACAGAACGAAGCACATTGCTCTGCGCTACTTCCTTGCTCGAGAGCTGCAGCAGCGTGGTCAGCTTTGTCTGCGTTATGTGGCCTCTGAGGCCAACACTGCTGATGTTTTCGTAAAGGCGCTTCAGCCTTGTGACCATCAGCGCTTTTGCACTCTTCTAGGCCTTGTGCCTACTGGACCTCACTTGCTTACTTCTTGAGTGTGTTTGTACTGTAAACTCTATTATAAACCTGCATGTGACCTGGTCTTGTGACCACTTGCTTGTGCTCGGAATTTTTGTGGTATCCTTGAGATCCACCCTGAGCTTGTTTTGCCTTGCTTTGCCTTGACTGGTCTTATGAGCCCTAGTTCTCCCCCACTTCGCCTATGGGGGTGTGGCAAACATTATATATGTTGTTGTGCTTGTTTAGGCTACAGTGGGTTAGCCTATAGGGGGCACGCAATTCTAGGGTTCGGTACTTGTACTGATTTCACTGTTAGTTCAACCATTCCTGTTCATTCATTTCAACAGCTCTAGAGGCGGCTGCTGCAGGGGCGGTTGCTGCAGGGGCGGCTGCTCCAGGGGCGGCTACTGCAGGGGCGGCTGCTCCAGGGGCGGCTGCTGCAGGGGTGGCTGCTCCAGGGGTGGCTGCTGCAGTCGCGGCTGCTCCAGGGGCGTCTGCTGTAGGGGCGGCTGCTCCAAGGGCGGCTGCTGCAGGGGTGGCTGCTCCAGGGGCGGCTGCTGCAGGGGAGGCTGCTCCAGAGGTGGCTGCTGCAGGGGCGGCTGCTCCAGGGGCGGCTGCTGCAGGGGCAGTTGCTCCTGGGGCGGTTACTGCAGTGGTGGCTTCTCTGGGGGCGGCTGCTGCAGTGGAGGCTGCTTCAGGGGCGGCTGTTGCAGTGGCGGCTGCTCCAGGGGCGGCTGCTGCAGGGGCGGCTGCTCCAGGGGCGGCTGCTACACTGGCGGCTGCTCCAGGGGCGGCTGCTGCAGTGGCGGCTGCTCCAAGGGCGACTGCTGCAGTGGCGGCTACTCCAAGGGCGGCTGCTCTAGGGGCGGCTGCTGCAAGGGTGGCTGCTCCAAGGGCGGCTGCTGTAGTGGCGGCTGCTCCAGGGGTGGCTGCTTTAGGGGCGGCTGCTCCAGGGGCGGCTGCTTCAGAGGCAGCTGCTCCAGGGGCGGCTGCTTCAGGGGCGGCTGCTTCAGGGGCGGCTGCTCGAGGGGCGGCTGCTGTAGGGGAGGCTGCTCCAGGGGCGGCTGCTACAATGGCGGCTGCTCCAAGGGCGGGTGCTGCAATGGCGGCTGCTCCAGGGCGCGGGTTAGGGCAGGGCGCCGCGGCGGGCAAGGGTGACGCCACACGGGTCCCGTAGGGGCGACGTGACGAGGCCGCGACTGGCGACGGGGCGGGGCCGCGACTGGCGACGGGGCGGGGCCGAGATTGGCGACAGGGCGGGGCCGCTACGGGCAGCGGGGCGGGGCCGCGTAGGGGCCGCTAAGGGAGCCGCGAGGGGGCCGCGAGGGGGCTGTGAAGGGGCCGCAAAGGGGCTGCGAAGGGGCCGTGAAGGGGCCGTGAAGGGGCCGCGAAGAGGCCGTTAGGGGGCCGCGAAGGTGCCGCGAAGGGGCCGTGAAGGGGCCGCGAAGGGGCCATGAAGGGGCCGTGAAGGGGCCGTGTAGGGGGTGTGAAGGGGGTCGTGAAGGGGTCGCAAAGGGGCCGTGAAGGGGCCGCGAAGGGGCCATGAAAGTGCCGCGAAGGGGCCGTGAAGGGGCCGCGAAGGGGCCGCCAAGGGAGGCCGCGAAGGGGCCATGATGGGCCTGAAGGGGCCGCGAAGAGCCGTGAGAGGGGCCGTGAGAGGCCGTGAGAGGGGCTGCTACGGGGCCGTAGGGGAGCGTAACGGGCCACTAAGGGCAGGGGACGCAACGGGAGGTTAGGCACACGGGGCGTGACTCGGGCTGGGACGAAGCGCGCTCCAGGCACAAAAAAAAAAATCGATATTCGATGGGCCCTAGGAAACGTTCCCACTAGGGAACCTGCTCTATACCATGTTCAAGAATGAGGAATGGATGAACTAGGAAACAAGTGGGTACAAGTAGGAAAACCTAGAAGTGTTGTACCCCATATTGTCTACCCCACTATAGCCTACACAGACTATAGTATATGAGTTTGACACCCGGCTGTCACTCTGTCGTCGCCGGCCTTAAAAAAGAGCGCGGTG